AGGGCTATCTGTGCTCTGCCCACCATGGGTATGGAAACCCGGTTTCTAGCGTTGTAAGTCCGCGGACATACCGCTGTGCCACTGGGGGGCCTGGTTGTTTTTAAACAAACAGTCAGTTCACTAAATATCCTCACTTCACTGGTTGTTTTTGTTTGTTTGTTTTTAAATTATGCACAAAGCTACACAAGGGCTATCTGTGCTCTGCCCACCATGGGTATGGAAACCCGGTTTCTAGCGTTGTAAGTCCGCGGACATACCGCTGTGCCACTGGGGGGCCTGGTTGTTTTTAAACAAACAGTCAGTTAACTAAATATCCTCACTTCTCTGGTTGTTTTTAAACAAACAGTCAGTTCACTAAATATCCTCACTTCATTGGTTGTTTTTAAACAAACAGTCAGTTCATTAATTTTCCTCACTTCACTGGTTGTTTTTAAACAAACAGTCAGTTCACTAAAAATCTTCACTTCTCTGGTTGTTTTTAAACAAACAGTCAGTTCACTAAATATCCTCACTTCACTGGTTGTTTTTAAACAAACAGTCTATTCATTAAATATCCTCACGTCACTGGTTGTTTTTAAACAAACAGTCAGTTAACTAAATATCCTCACTTCACTGATTGTTTTTAAACAAACAGTCAGTTCACTAAATATCCTCACTTCACTGGTTGTTTTCAAACAAACAGTCTGTTCACTAAATATCCTCACTTCACTGGTTGTTTTCAAACAAACTGTCAATTAACTAAATATCCTCACTTCACTGGTTGTTTTTGTTTGTTTGTTTTTAAATTATGCACATTCCAATCACGTTTGTAAACTAACATAAAGGTTAAACTTATATCAAAGTTTTTCTTCATTACCCATTTAAGCCGTCTCCAAGCATTATTAGTTTACTAATTATGCCCCTAACAACATCATTAATGTAAATAAGAAAAACTGGATGTCCAAGCACTGCCCTGAGGCACTCTATTAGTACCAAATGTATAGTTTGATTGGGCCATTACTAACAAATATTTCCTTTCTTTCATTCAACCACCCACTTATAACTAGGTAACCTTCTGTATGCCACCTAATCAAAAGCTTTCGGAAAATCTAAGCAAATCAAATCCACCCCCTTTCTGTCATCCAGGCAACATCTG